CCCGCGAGCGGCGGCCCTTCAGGAGCGCGGGGGATGAGGCGGGAGGGGCCGCGCCCCGCGCTCGCAGCTCGCCTCCCTGCGTTTGTCCTTCCCGAAAGTTCAGCGGAACGCTGCGGGCCGTGTCCCAGCCGGCCGCCCGCTGGTGGCGAATTTACCCTTATTTGGTCGCGGGGCGGCAGAAATTCCACCCCCCCTCTCCACACACGCCCTCCCCTCTCCTTCCAGCCTCCCCCGGGCATGGCAGGGCGAAGCGGCCGCCGAGCCGCCCCTCCCGCCGCCGCCACCCCCGGCCTGAGGTAAATTCTCCTCAGCGCCAGCGACTTCGCGCCCTGCCGCCGTGGCAGAGGCGAAGTGCCGCTTGGGGCAGGTTTTAGCCCTATTTTGTCGGAACTCGGCAGGCTGGCAGTCGCCCTTGGCGCACGTCCCCCGGCCTCGCCCCTCGCCCGGCCGCCCTGAACCGGCGGAGCTGTTGTCGCCGCTGCTGTTGGTACCGAGGAGGTAGGGCGCCGGCCCCGGCAGCAGAAGGCTGGCTATGGCATCTAGCTTTCCCCTCCGAAAGAAACAGTTGAGGGGATGGGGAGCCCTGTCGCTGCGTCTTTCTGCGTGGTGACCATTCTTGAAACGCCTCCAAATTTTCTTCTGTTGTGCTAATGTAAAATGTCGTCACGCCTACATTTAGCAAAAGCTACAAAGCTATTAACTCGGAGCTAGGAGAGTGCTTTGAAAATACATTAAACATGAAAATCTGCTGTGGTTCCTCCAAATTATTCCTCCTTACTTTGAGACAAACACTTCAAAATATTGCACTTCTAGTAAGGAGAGCAAAACAGCATGCTGAGACCTTTTTTCCCTGGAAGGCTTAGTGAGTAACTCCTCTTGGACACCTCCTCTAAAAGTGCAGCTCAAAGTCTGCTACCCAGAGACCTTACGTGGATTAAGGATTAAATACACTGTATGCTGAAATCATCTTTCATTAATTTCGTCCCCAGCCTCCAGCACTGGGCTACAGCAGCCCTCACAGAAAATGTTACAGCTTTTCCCAGGATGGTTTGTGTTCATGCAGTTAGTAGAGATACTGTAACCCCGGTCAAAAACATCCTTGTTTCAGCTAGTGTAGTTTTCAAAGGCTTTTTACAAGACATGAGGATTCCACCTCTTTTGTGTAGTATGTCTGTATGTAGTTTTGAGACTGAAGATATTCAGATTCTGATGGCAAATACCATACATGCTTAAATACTTATTATTCTTCCGCATATCCTGGTCTTTCCTCACGTGGGTTCTGACCTCGGAGAAATCCAAAAGAAGTCAATAGAATCCAAAAGGAGTCAATGGAAAATGGAAACCCTCAGCTCGCTCCGGCTCCAACAGGAGCTGCTCTGTATATACTCTATGCATATTTCTGTGATGGGAAGGCTGTCGGTTTCTCCTGTAGTTAGTTAGACCAGGGACTGATTCATCACGGAACTATCTCTTCCTGCAATTCCCTGCTACTTCATTTGGTTGATTGTATAATATGGAACAAGGAGAAATGCCAGAGCTTCACAAAGGGAGTTGGCCGATAAACTCCGTTTCAGCTGAAAAGTTGTTATTTATTTGTATCCTTGTGAGGGCTGTCCCTTAGGAGCACTAGTGAAGCACAAGAACCCTGTTTTGATAGCAGCAGCACAAACCCTGTTATTTCAGAGTCAAGAGAAGATTACTACCTCAAAAATGTGTCTACAGATACAAGAGATAGACAGAACAAATGGACTAAGAAATAACACAGCATTGATGAACACAGTAACCAGTCTTTGCAGCAAAATGAGTTTGATTTATTTAAATTAATTTGATTTATTGATTTAAATAAATCTGATTTATTTAAACCTCATTTAAGTGTAGCTGTGAGCAATCAGGTTTTACCAGATTTAGAAGTGACATTTCACTAATTTGGCCCAAAGATTTAGCTGTGTGTTTTATCAGCCCAGGCACAAAATAAGTTCAACAGCTCCAGAAAAAATGATTGGGGTTTCCTTGACCCAATAACTCGTATGGCCTCAATATGGTTGTGCTGATACCCAGATGTCTGATAACCTGCTAAAGAGGTGTTTGCATTGAGTGGATTATTGCTTACCCTGAAAACACTCCCTCAGTCCTATTTATTTCATCATTTGAATGGTTGTTTTGCTGGAGTAAATTTGGGAAAAGATCTTGGAGGAATGTATGGGCATATCATTTTGATGCTAATGGTGTAAATGACACCCTCATGGCCATTCTCAGGACAAATCAAAAGCTCGGTAGACTCAGGCTACCAAATAGTTCATTTAGCCTGTTGCAGAAGTATTTCTTTTCCAGTTGAGGAACCAGGTGCTGTTTTCTTCTTGTACAACGATATGTATAGGCCTGAGCTGCTTTTTAAGCTTTTGCTCCTCATCAGAAGTTCACGTGATGTTCTTGCCATCGTCTCTCATCTCTTATCAAGGTCCTTAGAGAAGGTCCAGTCAAACTAGAGGGAGCAGCCTCTAAAACCTCATTAGACTTACTCTCTTCTCAGCAGAGCTATTACAAGCCGGCTTTTTGTCAGCAGTTCTCCAAGAGTTGCAGCACAGTTTGTGAACCAACACATCTACGCAGTCATCCTCTCGTATGGGAAGAGCCACATGATTTTCTTTTATGTTGCTTCATATGCAGTCATATTATAGGTGAGCCAAACAGACTGGTTCTGAAATTAAAGAGTGAGCTTTATGGGGAGGACTTCAGCACAAGTTTGATTTTCCCTTTAACAAAATGTTTGCTGGTATTCCCCATCCTGAATCTGTAAGCTGTATTTTCATAGTCACTTCCAGAACAGCCAGTCAGTGTCTCTGGAAGTAGCAGGCCTCTTTCTGATCATTTATTTTGTGTTTAGGGTCAATAATGCACCATGTCTCCTGTTTGGCAGTGTTATGTAATGTGCTCTAGGCTATTCTCCATTACACCACCCAGCCAGAAATGAAGATGATATTTAGATGATTTTCTGCAGTGAAGCAAGGGCTCTAGAGCCGAACTCAGCTCTGAGCTCTTTATCTTGAAAAAAGCAAGATTTTTTCCTACATATTTCATAATGCATTGCAGTATAAAAGCAGGATTGAACTGTTTTTATACATGCAATATGCATATGAAACAAGGTGCAGTTTGATCAGAGATCAGCCACTTGGACCATTAAAGCTGTCAAGTTGAAATGCAGTGGTCTATTCAGGTTGGGCAGTCAGAAGATCCTGGATCTTAAATTCTCGTACCCATTTCCGTCATATCTCTAAGGGCCTCTGTCAGCCATTTTGTCTCTGCATTGCTGTGACGCCATTACTCCCATCTGAGCCGCAGGGTGGTGTAAGATGGCAGCTCTCTGTTTCAGCCCCACGCTGTTTCATAGGCCAGGCCTCGATGTCCCGTTGCCAGGAGGACAAAATCCGCCCAGAGCTGGAAAAGCTGTGAGTGCGCGAAGGGATGGGGGACGAGGGTGACGTGCGGAAGCCAATGGCCGACCCCCGCCTTGGTATGAGCACTGTGGACACAGAGGTACAGGCACGTGGGGAACACAGGGTGGCAAATGTGCGACTGAGCTCTGTGGCAACGAGCGCACTAATGGTGGGGGCTGTGCGAAAGGGGCTGCGTGCGCCGCTTCGGGTAAGCTTCTTGCTTGCGGCGCTTTTCGCTTGCCTTCGCTGTATCGCTCTCCAGAGCTCTCGCTTGGCGGAGCCTCTCGTCTCCCGAAGCCTTTTGCTGGCCGGAGCTCCTCGCTTGCTTTCTCTCCGTCGCCTACAGAAGATTCTCCATTGCCTGTGGGATTCCTCCCATCACCCGCACCGGGAGCGCACCAACGGAACACCACCAGGTTACAGGCGGTGGTAACAAGTATTGCTGCATCTCTTCTGTTGTCTAGCTTAGGTATTCTGACTTTTGCTTTTTCCTTCTTTCTGTCCTATCGCTATTATCTTTATTTTGTAGAATAAAGCTTACAAGGTTTGCACGGCGTCTGACCTCGTTTGCATCTTAATCTCGCTCTTGGGATCATTTAAGAACCCTCCCCGATATTGGATCTGGACAATATCCATTTCCCTAGTAAGACTATCCAGAAAACTGCGTCAGCCAGATTGTATTGGTGAGGAGAAATGAATTGTTTTATACTACAGCAATCACTTTGGAAAAGTCTAAGCAACAGCTGTTCTAAGAACAAATAATACTTTGTCATAATACATTTTCATCACTGAAATTCTTCATCTCATCTCTATTTGTGGCTGTATGTCTAGAATGAGAACAGATTCTTCTGACAAGGTGCTGTTGTGTTAAAAATCGTATTGTATGTGGGGGAAACTAGAACTGGTCTGTTACTTTGTTTTCGTAGAACTCTACTTTTTGCACACAGATGCTCCTTGTTAATTTGTAAGGCAGCCACAATACATGATGCTTTTTAAATAAGTGTTCCTTTGTTTTTGTGAATAACAAACTGAAGTTCTGCAAATCAGTAGAAGATGTTT